AGTGATAGAGCATTTACCAAGCATGCTCAAGGCACTAGATTCAACCCCAGCACCAAAGGGGAGAGAGAACACTACAGCTACAGGATTAACATAATTAATTTTGCAGATTTACCATTGTAGGAAAAAGGCAAAGCGTTTTCATATAGAATGTCCCTTGGTGCCATTCAGAAAATCACTAACCACCAAATAGCATCAACATTATTACCTYTGGCAAAGCAAGTTATTTGATCACCTATAACTAGTATATTTTTTTAAATGATTTTTACCTGAAAGCAAATAAAATGTCATCAAGAAAAAAGGTGATTCTAGTTTTTAGTGACAATGGTATCACACACAATATACTAATTTTATACAGCAAAGGATCCTGTGTAACTGCTAGCACAATAAATCTAAATTCAGATTTAAGACTGCATGCCACTTAGGAATGCACACAGAGCAGAATTTAACTTTTTATTATTATTAACAGTAATAGCAACAAAATTAACATTTACTTGGGAGGCTGAGGCAAAAAAACTGCAAGTTCAAGGCAGCTTCAGCAACTTAGTGAGACCTGTCTCAAAATAAAAATTAAAAAAAAAAACAAAAAACTATTGGGGAAGGGGGAGGTAGGCCTGACTGGTAACATAGCTCAGTGGTGAGGCACCTCTGGATTCATCCTAAGTACTATAAAAATTAACATTTATTAAGTGGCTACTCTGTACTAGACACTATTATATGTACTTAATCTATATTAATACTTGATCCTTTTTAACAATTCTATAAGGGTGTTATAGGTGAAGAAAATGAGGCACAAAGAGGTTAAATAATTTGCCCAGGTTAATATATCTGAAAAGTAGCGGTCAGAATTCAAAGCAAGAAGTTTGATTTCAAAATCTATAAATTTTGGTTTTGGTATTGGGGATTGAACCCAGCAGTGTTTTAACACTGAGCTACATTCCCAGCCCCTTTTATTTTTTATTTTGAGAAAGAGTCTCCATAAATTGAAGGGGCTCGATACAGTGCTGGGACTGACCTGGAACTTGCAATCCTCCTGCCTCAATCTCCAGAGCTSCTAGGATAATAGATATGCACCTCTGCAACTGGATTGCAATATTATACAAAGTGAGAAATTAACAAGAACGGGTATTTGAAGAAAACCAGAGTTCTCATGGAGTTATATTTGTTTTCCAGGAATAAAACATATTCTGCTTGCCTAATCATTTTCTTCACCATTTAATCCCACAGTAATATTCTGTAGTAACATTATTAATATTATGGTTCAGTCAGGAAGAAAAGGATTTTCTCCCCATGGATCCGCTTTGCAGTTTATGAGACCCAAAGTCTTAAGACTGTTTTTTCTTAACTCTGTTTTCTATTCTGTGATTTCCTTTAAGAACCCATGATGAAACTGATACAAGATGGAAGAAAAATGTTAAGTACAGGCTATAAAGTACCTTCCGTTAAGTAAAAGAGCAATCTACCTCCCTTTCACAAAATACACAGGATAGTAAAGGGATTTCTCAAAATTCCCACCTCTGCAACTCAAACCTAGAGACAATGTTCTCCTACCTTCTCAGTGGAAAGGTTGGTCTCAGAGTCATGTTTCTTCTGGGTGAAAACAATGGTGAACACAGCGTGGGAACGGCTACTTGTTTCATTCATGTTGGTAGCTGCCACTGTCCTAAATAAACACAATGGTGACCACGTGACAATGGAATTCTTACATGTGGAGCAGCAGGCTCTACATTATAAGCATAACAATCACAAGTTATAGCCTTAAACTGTTAGACTGTCACTTACACAATTGCTCTTAATACTGTCTTATTTGTGAGCCCATCAAGATACCCCCTCCAACTCAAAAAGCACCCCATCAGAATCATTTTTCATACTCCAGCTATCCCTTTAGAAACCACCAGAGCATTAAAGTTTTATTCTTTATTAGGTGCTCATTTATTCCAGACTCAATTACTACCACCGATACACATAGACAAGATGACTAATACTTTACCATGGCTTAATTAAAACTTAAGGGTAAAACTTAACCAAAGTTCTGTTTCAGTAGTGCATTGTTTTGATGAGAAGAAAGACAGAGGCCCCCAACTCTCCAGCATGTGAGACTAAGTGAACTGAAGCAACTTTTATCACTATCATCATGGGATAGTCATAAATAGGAAGAAAGAGCCCCAAAATATGCCAAAGGCCTCAGTCATTAGCCAGTTTTCCACCATACCTGGCTTTGTTCCCAGCATCCATGAGGTCAGCAATATCTGTGTAGGAAGTGACCGCCAGTTTCGACAGATCCTCCACATAGGGTCCAAGAAGTGGGTGTTCACGCACACGCAAATTACCCTTATTTTTTGGATTCAGCAAATCTCGTACTCTTTCACAGTAAATTTCCATGTAGCTCACCTAGGAACATATTATTAAAGTGAATTAAAGGACCTGGAAAAAGAAACCACAGACAGCAAAAATATTTTTTTAAATTTTTATTTTTTGTAGTTGTAGATGGACAGAATGCCTTTATTTGTTTACTTTTATGTGGTGCTGAGGATCAAACCCAGTGCCTCACGCATGCTAGGCAAGCACTCTAGCAAAAAGATTTTTAAACAAGTTTTTAAAAAGCTCTACAATTAGGGATCAGCAACCTTTACGAAGTGAAATGTCAAAGTTCTAGGCCCTTGGGGCTTGGGTTATGGCTTAGTGGTAGAGCGCTCGCCTCGCACATGCGAGACCCTGGGTTCGATCCTCAACACCACATAAAAATAAATAAGTGAAATAAAAGTATTGTGTCCAACTACAACTTTAAAAAAAAAAAAGTTCTAGGCCCTTTTTTTCTATTAGTAGTATGCACCCTGTGTAGGTTAGAACCCACCTTCTGACTTTGCAGGGAAGGAAGGTTTTATCTCTGGCACATAATGGTTGCTACTTGTCTTAGGCAGAAAAGATATTTTAGTAGCAATTTATCAGTTATCAATTTTAAATGTACATACTACTGTCAGTAATGGAAATTTAAAGTGAAGTCACTCCAAGGGTTGGAAAAAAAGAATTCTATCAGAGTTAAAACCAAGGAACAATATTAATATTCCAGAGCAGGGAGGACAAGAGACCAGTGACTAATTCTTTAAGACTGACCACACTCTTATGAACTACGGACAACATATATACCAGAAGGACTGAGGGCTGGCTGATAATTCATAGTGGCCTAATTGAGACCTAAAAAGAGGAGGAAGCCTTAGAAAACAGATATTTCATAAATTCTTGTGTCACCAGCAGGATGCCTACCATGATGATGAATGAATTAGGCTTAACCTGAGGCAATTACACAATTTATCTAATCAATTCCCTTCCAATTTCATGCTTACCAAACCACTACCAGGATTCCAAAAGAGGTTTGTGCACAGAAAGATAATAAACTAGGTCTTGCAAAGTGAGTGTTCTTGTCTTAGTTATTCCTCATGGAATAATAAGAGCCAATATATTTGGGTTTCCTAACATCAGCCAAATGAGCTTCACTCAAGAGTCTCACTTTGAAGGATGGTTTTGTTCCCAATGTATCTATAAAATCAGCCTTCTAAGCACATAAGTCTCTCTCTGATCTGGGATACATTCACCATGGTAGGCCACTTTATGATGCATCCCAGGAATGAGATCCTTCTGCATCACTGTGCTACAGGAATACAATATAAACTGCATTTTTCAACTTAAATTTCTACAGACACATTTTCCAAGTATTTGCACTGGACCTTATCTCCATTTCTACTGCCTTTCTCCTTTTGTCAGTCTCGATCTGTATTTTTATATTGGTTTTTAAAAGTCAGTTAAAATTTAAAAATCCTGAAAGTAAATCATCTATTATGGGAGTAAAACAACAGGACAACAAATTTTGTTTCTGACAGCAATTCACACTAGAAAGTGAAATGACTTGTTTTAATCATGTTTGCCTACTTAAATTCATACAATCCTGAACTCCCAGAAGATACATGTATCTATCAAAAAGTTGATCTTTTTCACTCAAATGTGAGATTAAGTGAACCCAAATAACTTGAGAGAAGATTAGTGTACACCACTGCTTATTCTCTACTATGTGAATCCATCCAAAGTCATTATTATTTATTTTACTTATGAACCAACCATGACAGACCTCACTTGGCAAATCCAATTCACCGACCATCTTCCAGACATAGTCTAGGCACCTGACAGACATCAATAAATAAAACAGACAAAGATGCTGCCCTTGGGACTGGGGTTATGGCTCAGCAGTGGAGTGCTTGCCTCACATGTGCAAGGCCCTGGGTTCAATCCTCAGCACCACATAAAAATAAATAAAGTTATTGTATCAAAAAAAAAAAAAAAAAAACGCTGCCTTAGTGACCTTTATAATTCTAGCAATGGTGACTATGAGGAACAACAAAAGCAATAAGTAGATAGTTTATGAAGTAAATTAGAACATGATGAATACTGCAGGAAAAAGAAAACCAGAACAAGCGGGATTTAGGATTGCTGGGGCAGAGTTATAGTGTTAAATACAGTGGTCAAGGTCAGTCTTGCTGAGAGGGTAAGATTTGAGGAAGGACATGAAAGAAGAGGGAAACTTACTCAGAAAAATAAATCTAGGGGAAGGGCAGAGAGCATGGTTCAGTGGTGGAGACCGTGCCTAGCATGTGTAAGGCCCTGCATTTGGTCCCTGCGCTATAAAAAAATAAACAAACAAACAACAACAACAAAATATATATATATATATATATATATATATATTTTTAAGTTATTAAAGACAGAGAGAAAAAGAAATCCAGGGGAAGAACCTTTCCAGCGGAAGGAAGAGTAAATATAAAAACCCTGAGGAAGGACTGCTCCTGGCATATTCTAGAAACAGCAAAATACCAATATAGCTGAAGCAGAGAACAGAGAAAGAAGTAGGAAAGGGGGTTAGAAAATGTGACAAGGAACCATAGTATCCACAAGGGATCTAATTTGTACTTCAAAATAAGTCTGTGAACTCTAATTTGAAAGGAAATGGCATCTTCTTTTATTATCTATAAGCTCAAACACTGTAGCACCTGATTTAAAAAAAAAAAGAATGGTTATGGGATGAGCCAAGCTGTTTAGAAAATTCATCTCAACATAAAGTATTCTTAGAGCACATACACTCTTTGGTCTATGATAGTCACAAGGCAGAAATTCATGCAATGCCTTATAGGTTAAAGAAAAACTCAAGGCCACTAAGTGGAATAATGAGGAATTAAGTCCTACAGAAAATTACAACACAGAGCAGGATATAGCCTGGTGGTAGAGCACTTTCCTAGCATGTGTGAGGCCATGAATTCAATCCTCAGCACCACAAAGAGAAAAAGAAAATCACAACACATACTAAATAAATGTTATTAAATAGTTTGCTTGATTATGCTAAGTGAAGCTAGCCAATCCCTAAAAAACAAATGCCAAATGTCTTCTTTGATATAATGAGAGCAACTAAGAATAGAGCACGGAGGAAGAGCAGGAGAAAAAGATTAACATTCAACAGAGACATGAGGTGGGAGGGAAAGGGAGACAAAAGGGAAATTGCATGGAAATGGAGGGAGACCCTCATTATACAAAATTACATATAAGAGGTTGTGAGGGGAATGGGAAAATAAACAAGGAGAGAAATGAATTACAGTAGATGGGGTAGAGAGAGAAGATGGGAGGGGAGGGGAGGGGGGATAGTAGAGGAYAGGAAAGGTAGCAGAATACAACAGTTACTAATATGGCATTATGTAAAAATGTGGATGTGTAACCGTTGTGATTCTGCAATCTGTATTTGGGGTAAAAATGGGAGTTCATAACCCACTTGAATCTAATGTATGAAATATGATATGTCAAGAGCTTTGTAATGTTTTGAACAACCAATAAAAAAAAATTTTAAAAAATAGTTTGCTTAAAAGGCAGCTTAATTTCTCAGAACAACAGGCTCACTTTAATAAAATACCTCAATTTCAGTTACTATGAAAATGAATACCAAAAATGTATGTGTGTGTGTGTGTGTGTGTGTGTGTGTGTGTGTAAAACAGCAGCTTCAGAAAGCACATATGCAAATCAGGGACTACCCCAGATGTGCTTGTCACAACTGTAATCCCAGCTACTCAAGAAGCTGAGACTGGAGGAACACAAGTTACAGGTAAGCCTGGATAACCTAGAGAGAGCCTGTCTCAAAATAAAATTAAAAAGGGCTAGGGATGTAGGTCAGTGGTAAAGTACTCCGGGATTTATTAATCCTCAATACCAGTTAATGAATGAATGAACAAACAAGTAAATGTAATGTTGGATGAACAGGAATACAGAGGCCCCTGATTTCAACCACGACTACACTCACCTCTACAGAATAAGACATCTCTTCATTGCAATTGTCATTGATCTTCTCAAAGAGCTCTTCACACAACTAAGGAAGCAGAATAAAAGAAAACATGAGTTGCCCAAACCAGAGAAGTACTGTTATTCACAAGTGCTAAGTGAATTAGCAAGGCCCCCTTTCTCTTTCTCTCTCCACATCATAAACCTCAAGGTAGGATTAACATTTTGAATGAAATTTTTTAAAACTTTGAATAYGCTCTTCTTATATATCTGTATTCTCCCTCAATAATTGAACCTTGGGGGCTGGGGATGTGGCTCAAGTGGTAGCGCGCTTGCCTGGCATGTGTGCAGCCCGGGTTCAAACCTCAGCACCACATACAAACAAAGATGTTGTGTCCGCCAATAACTAAAATAAATAAATATTAAAAAAAAATAAAAAAATAATTGAACCTTGATTTTGTTTTCTGAAGAAGAAAGTCACATTTGGGGGAGAAAGGGAAAGTCAGCTTTTTACAGAAGTTGTATCACCATCATGTTAAACACATGTGAATCTGCTTCTGTGTAGTACTTGTGACTCTACTGTCAATATTACTGTAACAATGAAACTACTAGGACAACATTTGCACTGATGTATTGCTGATGCTATACATCAATTTGTTATATTATCAGTGACTATATAAACTTATAGACACAGATGAAGAATTTATACTATTTGGAAGAGGCAAATAAGGAATTTTTAAGAATAATCCTTCCTCTATAAAACTTTCCCTTTACTACTACATCAAGACTCCTCACCCTTATATGAGATGCTACTCTACTGCAAAGTGACATTTCTTGACAGGAAATATTACATTTTTCTTGATCTGGAAAATTTTAAACTTCATCCTATCCCCTGTATTTCTTCTGTAAAATATGTGATATTTTAATAAAAACAATAAAAATGCTACTGAATTTCTATTTGCTATACTTTTAGCATAACACAATCATATACTACAATGACAATCATACTTTAAAGCAATTTACACTTTGAAAAATGAACTATATGTGATTCTCTAGAAGTCTGAATGGAATTTGAAATTTACAACAAATGGTAATTTTGAAATAATAATTATATTTTTAAAAAACACGCTTTTTCAGGACTGATACTACTATATACGAAGAAGGACAATTCCTAAATACATGTTTTAATATAAACATATTTTAATTAAAAAATTAACCAGAGCCTCACACATGCTAGGCAAGTGCTCTACCTAGCAAATCCTAGTCCTTGAATAAATATTTGAAAAATAAAAATATCTGTTAAAGCAATTTAGGTTTTTTTGCTGTTTTATTTTTTACCTGGGGAATGATGCCAGCCTGACTTTCTTCTTGTTTACCCATCATTGTATAAGATTTCCCAGCACCAGTCTGCCCATAGGCAAAAATACAGACATTATAACCCTCAAAGGCATGTAAGAGCATTTCCTTTCCGATGTCATTGTACACACGATTTTGAGATGCAAAACAGGGATCTTCAGGCTGTAAAGATCAAAAATAAAGAAAAATAAATGGCATTCTATTCACAATCCATATTTATTTGATTGCTTCCATAATAAATAAGTGTTTAGAATCAGAATAGAAACCCAAAACATGCCACAGATTTTTAACTATCTACTACATGAAGGTTTTGTTGTTTTCTCATTCTTCTCCTTCCCGCCCACCTAAGCTCTATTAAGAGGCATCCAGGTCAGCCATGCACAAAAACTTCAAGGTGAAATTTATCTGGCATAATTATGTTTCATTTTCCATAACCTTATACTACTCTGTTCATAAGGAGCTCCAAGAAGATTTTCTTAAGTAGAAAATGGGAATAAAAGACCTTTGTCTGGTCCACATTAAAAAAATACTTCTTTGAACTCACTTAGCTAATGAGGCTCTTTTCAATAAACATAGCTTTCAGTGAAGAATGCTTACAATTCATTCCAGACTATTCCTTTAGCAATTAGCTTTCGTTGATAGTTTTTTTTTTAATATTTATATATTATTTAGGTGTAGATGGACATAACACAATGCCTTTATTTTTATGTGGTGCTGAGGATTGAACCCAGGTCCCACCAGTGCTAGGGGAGCGCTCTACTGCTGAGCCACAATCCCATCCCTCGTTAATAGTTTAAAACATCTCTTACTCCTCAATGTAAAACAGGACAAACAAAAACTAAACCATACAACAGAGACGGATGGTACAAAAGCAAACTCCAGTTTAGAACAATCCCTAAAAGCCAGCAAACACTAGGGTAATACAGTGAGTAAAGGTGCCATGGTGGCCCCTATTCTCCATTTTCCTAGATGTTAATGATATCTTGTTTTCCTTGTGGATCTGCAGGTTCTTTCCAAACATTCAGAACACACCGATCTACTATGATTTAAAAAAAGAAAAAAAAAAAAAAAAGAAAAGAAAAAACAAGCCAGTTGTGGTGGCCCACAGCTACTCTAGAGGCTGAGGTAGGAGGAGCACAAGTTGGAGGCCAGCATCAGCAACTTAGCAAGACACTGTTGCTGGGGCTGTTGGCAAAGTAGAGCATTCACCTCACATGTATGAAGCACTGGGTTCAATCCTCGGCACCACATAAAAATAAAAAAAGACTGAGGATAGGGCCGAGGATATAGCTCAGTGGAAGAGCAACCCTGGATCTATTCCCAGTAACACAAATCAAACTAACAAATGAACAACAATTTAACTGAGGTCATTCCAATCTTCCTAGATACATCTTCAAAATTTTAACTTAAAACTAGCAATACACTGRGGCTGGGGTTGTGGCTCAGCAGTAGTATGCTCCCCTAGCACGTGTGAAACCCTGGGTTCGATCCTCAGCACCACATAAAAATAAATAAAATAAAGGTATTGTGTTCAACTACAAAAACTAAAAAATAAATACTAAAAAAAAAAAACGAACTGGCAATACACTAAGCAATTTGGCACTACCTAAGATCTATAAGTACAGTAACATTCATAATGCAAATCCTAAAATACTTCTAAATAAATCCTCAAGGAATATCTAAATCAGAGTAAATTAGATTCCATATTTAGTGTAAACTAAATGCTTATATGTATGTGTGTGTGTGTGTGTGTGTGTGTGTGTGTGTGTATATATATATATATATATATATATATATATATATGGTACATAAACTTTCCATCAAATAAAATACTTTTATTCTTTAGATAATATTCACTATATCAAAAAAATGTAGTCATGGCTGAGCGTAGGGCACATGCCTGTAATCACAGCAGCTCAGAAGACTGAGGCAGGAGGATTGAGAGTTCAAAGCCAACTTCAGCTAAAATGAGACACTAAGCAACTCAGTGAGACCCTGTCTCAAAATACAAAACAGGGCTAGGGATGTCGCACTCAGTGGTTGAGTGCCCCTGAGGTCAATTCCAGTACCACCACCACCACCCCCAGAAAAAGTCACGCTTGACCACACTCACAAACCAAGAATAAGACCAGCTCCAGCAGGGAAAATACTAACATGAAAGTAAAGAGGAGGAAAGAAACTCACCGAGGTRTGAGACCAATAGGAGTAGTCGAAGCTGAAGGACTTTGGTGCTTCCTTTGGGTTCTTTGGGTTAATAATACCTAGAGGATGAAAATGTTTCCATTAAGTCTCTCAGTAACAAGTTCATTAATTCAAAATGATATTATACTATATGTTCAAAAATATCTAAATCAGTATATTCATAGCAATGAATCTTAATAGGGCAATCAAAACATAAAAGTATCATGGTTTGGGGGTTTTTTTAGTTGTAGTTGGGTAGAATATCTTTATTTTATTTATTTAATTTTTATGTGGTGCTGAGGATCTCGAACCCAGGGCCTTGCATATGCAAGGTAAGTACTCTACCACTGAGCCACAACCCCAGCCCCAAAAAGTATTTTGAAGACATAATTTATATATGGAACTTCAAAAAACTCAGGCCAACAACAGTTAAGTGGGTGTTACCAGTATTCAAATATACAGTGAGTTCCCAGAAAATATTCTGTGATTGAATGTTTATCATCCTCCCTAGGAAAGTAGCAGTCAAAATTTAGAAATGAATCATGTTAGAAGTTCAAGGTACCTCATAAAGTTTGAATATGTCAACAAATCAGAAATAATTAGAAAAATATTGCATTAATCCAACCACAATTTGTAACCAGCTCTTTTTACAGATCTTACTATCTACTTCAGAAAAGCACTTGAAAATGAAGCATTCATAATTGAAATCCTTGGTTGACAATAATGAATATGTAAGTTATTACATATGAAGTATACACATATATGTGTTTATACAGTGGAATTGCAGACTACTAAATTTTCTGTAGAATGTTAAGTTACTTTTTGACTTAAAAGCATGAAATCACTGCCCATATTAAAAGTGATTTGTCGTTTAATCCATCCTAAACTTCAGGGGCTGACTGTGAAGCTTAATATCTTCCTTTTTCATACACACAAAGCTTCTAGCTCCTCATATTTCACATGAAACAGAATCCTTGTAACATGTGGTCATGAAATCTGGAAGACTGGACATCTCAACAAATCTGCTTCTCTAAAACAGGGCCACATCCCAGACTATCAGTGAGATCAGGATTAAAAAATAAATCTGTCTCAGGCAGCTGCTGCTCAGGACACAAATAGCAACAGTTGCTATGGTGCTTAGCTCCCTCTCTTGCTCACGCTCGCTCACTCTCTCTCTCTCTCTCTCTCTGGATTCCACTGGGTACAGCCACACACTTACGTTCCAACCTCAAATGCTGACAGAGTATTAATAAGGCTCACACTGCACATAATCATGTGACAAGGGGACACAGTTCTAGAAAGAACATCTCTCAAAACACAAATGGTAATCTAAGCAAGGAAGTGTACTTCTTTTAAAAATATTTAATTTTTAGTTGTAGTTGGACACAATTTCTTTATTCCATTTATTTATTTTTATGTGGTGTTAAGGATCAAACCCAGGGCCCTGAGTATGCTAGGCGAGTGCTCTACCACTGAGCCACAACCCCAACCCCAAGGAAATGTACTTCTAACTAAAAGGTACTATATACAAGATTTAAATAACTGCCAACATATAAAGAGCAGTTACTCAATGGCAGAAGTATTTTTTGTTTATCTCTTTAATTCTCCCAACTGCTTAAGAGGCAAATGTTTTCGCATTCTCATTGTATAGGTGAAACAGGCTTCAGAGCTCACACTTTTAGCCAAATACCATCATTTAAATTCCTACTCTCTATGTCTGTGAGCAAATGCCAAGACAAAGGACAGTAAGGCATTTTGTGCATATGCATAATTATACCATTTCAAAATTAAACCACCACCATTATTTAAAACCCCCTATCCATTTAAAACTTGGAATTACAAGGATCATATACCATACAAACTCTACCAACAAAATGGAAATTAGCATCCCACTGCATGATCCAGATTCTGGATTTCAGTGACTTGGCAATAGGAACTCCATTAAAGCCAGGTGGCACACACCTGTAATCCCCATGGCCCAAGAGGCTGAGGCAGGAGGTCCACAAGTTCAAAGCCAGCCATAGCAACTTAGCAAGACCCTCTCTCAAAATTTAAAAAAAAAGAAAATAAAAAACAGGCTGGGGATGTGGCTCAGTGGTTAAGCACCCCTGGTTTCAATCCCCTATGCAAAAAAAAAAAAAAAAAAAAAATCTGATGAAATGCAGGGTACTCCCTCTGAAGTATCTTTACCACTCTAAAACAAAACATTTCCGATCTCTGCAAATTTTTTTAAAGTCACATTTCATACATTCTTTTAGCTACCAACTTTTGAGAAAGAATCAATTCTCACATCCTATCCCATCATTGTCTTTTTTCTAGAAAAGAAAAAGAAAAGTACACCAACGAGTTAATTTTTTCAAGGTACATATGATCCTTCCCTCCTTCTCAGGATTCCCTTCTCCCAGATCTGTAAAAATTCTGATACCAGTTATTTTTCCTTATTTATATCTTCAAAACCAATCTACAATGGACTGTGGTTGTGGCTCAGTGGAGATCATTTGCCTAGCAAGCGTGAGGCATTGGGTTTGGTCCTTAGCACCACGTAAAAATAAATAAAGGTGGGCTGGGGATGTGGCTCAAGCAGTAGCGCGCCGCCTGGAATGCGTGCGGCCCAGGTTCGATCCTCAGCACCACATACAAACAATGATGTTGTGTCCGCTGAAAACTTAAAATAAATAAATAAATATATATATATATATATATATATATAATTCTCTCTCTTAAAAATAAATAAATAAATAAATAAAGGTATTGTGCCCATCTAAAAATATTTTTTAAAAAATCTATACCTACCAACAATGAACACCTTTTAACATAAATATACAGTTTTTTAAAGAAAAGTTCTTTAGGGTCTAGGGTTGTGGCTCAAGCAGTAGAGCACTTGCCTAGTACTTATGAGGCCCTTGATTTGATCCTCAGCACTACATAAAAATAAATAAATAAAGGTATTTTTTTAAAAAAAGCTCTTTATAGGACTGAGGATGGAGCTTTGTGGTAGAGTATTTTCATGGCAAGTGCAAGGCCCTGGGTCCCATCCCCAGAAATGCAAAGGAAAAAAAAAAAAGCCTCTTTATATTTGACAAACAACATTAAATTTACCCAGAATATTTAAAAAGAATTCAATTTCCAAATGAGAAATGTAAGACACTTTAGAACAATATAGAAATTCAATATCGATATTACCTCTTTCAGAAGGCACTGGTGATTTCTACATCTTAAAATCAGTACCTGTAGAGTGATTTTATTCTTTATAATTATATATACATCATATAATTATAAAGAATAAAATAACTTGAATACATTTTTCCTAATAAAAAAATGTTAAACAATAGAACTTGGAAACGAAAAAAATTTTTACAGGGATAAAATCTCAATAACAGCGTTTATACTCATTAAACCCTCTAAAAAAAGCCCTTAAAGGCCACGGTTATTTCCATGGACAATGAGTTAGTGTTTTTAAATATGCCAAACAATTTTTCTTGTTCTTCCCCACCGACCAGTACTGAGGATTGAACCTAGGGACTCTTTACCTGAGCTACATCCCCAGCCCTTTTCATTTTTTATTTTGAGACAGGGTCTTGCTAAGTTGCCCAGGCTAGCTACAAACTTGTGATCCTCCTGCCTCGGATTTTAGAGTAGCTAGAAACACAGGTATACGCCATCATACCCAGCAGTATTCTTCTTTCTGAATTAATAATGTTTGAAGTCTACCTCCCTATCTCTAGCCCAATAAAGAAATTGGAAGATTCTGACCTAAAAGGGAAGGGGAAGGCCTGGGATTGTGGCTCAGCGGTGGAGCGCTCACCTAGCATGTGCGGGGTGCTGGGTTTAATCCTCAGCACCACATAAAAAATAAATAAATAAAATAAAGGTATTGTGTCTGACTACAACTAAAGGAAAATATTTTTTTAAAAAGGAAGAGGAGCAGCTCAAGAGGCTGAGGCAAAAAAAGCACAGGTTTGAAGCCAGACTCAACAACTTAGCGAGGCTCTAAGCTAATTTAGACCTTGCCTCAAAATTAAAATAAAAAGGGCTGGGGATTTTTGGCTTGGTAATTAAGTGCCACTGGACTCAATCCCTAGTATGAAAAACAAAAACAACAACAAAAGGGTGGAGGACGACAGTATTATTCTATCTTGTAATAGAACACTGGATTTGGAATAAAGGACCAACATCAGTGCCTACATATTAGTACATCATTTAATAGAAGTTTATAAAGAAATATTATACTTAGATTTTTGTGTGTGAGACTCTGGGTATTACAGTGCCCATCTTCTGCTTCCTGGCTGCCATGATGTTCTACCTCATCACAAGCCCAACCACGGACTGAAACCATGAGCCAAAATAAATCCTTCCTCCCTTTCAGTCGATTTTATCTAAACTTTTGTCACAGTCACAAAAAGCTAATGAACACAACCACACTGTAAATGATGAGAGATGTTAACTCATCAAATTAAGAAGCCAAATCCAGTGAAGGCTTATGACCAAGGCAAGGATTTTTAGTTTTACTCTAAAAATAATAAGAAGCTAATGAAGAATTTTAAGCAGAGGGGCAGCATATCTGATTTATACCTCTAAAATATGTCTGGCTACTACATGGGGACATGGGTAGAAAGCAGAGACAAGAAGCTATTGTAATACTGATTTGGGGTTAAAGTAAAAATAGTAAAAAGTGATTGAGGATATATTATGAAGGCAAAGACAATAGGACTTACTGATGGAATCTGTAAGAAAAAGGGAAAAGGCAAGAATGACTATTTTTGATCTTGCAACTAAAAGAATGGGTAATGAAAGAGCAGCCACTTTGGTTGGGTGAGAAARGGGGAAACCACAGTTCTGTTTAGGACATGTTGGGTTTGAGATACTTCTTAAGACTTTCAAGTAGAGTTAAGCTGGCATTGGGTGGACAACTCTAGGCATAGAGTCCTACAGAAAGATCCAGGCAGAAGAAATTAACCTGGGAGTCATTGTTCCAAAGGCATTTAAAGGCTTGGGACTGGAAGAAACACCTGCAGGGTCTGTCTTCTCTGGAGATAGAGAAATAAGGACAAAGGACTGTTTGGGTGAAGAAGAACTGAGA